CCAGACACTACTCACCAAGGTAGAATGTAGAGCATTGTCTTTATAAGCTGTGTCACTGACATGTAATTTTTAAGGTAACATTAAGATTACTTTGTGAGAGGATGCAAACAAACTATCCCATTCTTGGAGTCGCAGACAGAACCACCAAAAAATTTGAGGTTCAGCTTCGTATGTCAAAATCCTTAGGGGTAAGGAGAAAGTGTAACATTCACTAGTTGCACCAGTGAATCTTCGGGTTCTTTTGACAGTTGAAGTAATTGACAAATTACTTAATCTTCCGTCCAGTTGATTCCTACCTATAGCGACCTTATAGGACAAAGAACTGCCCCATAGGGTTTCCAAGGAGCTGCTGGTGGATTCGAACTGCCGACCTTTTGGTTAGCAGCCATATCACTTGACCACTATGCCACCAGGGCTCCCCTAAGAGGCCATCCCATCTGTATTCTCCTGGTATAGAGATATAGAATTGAAAGTCAGTGATAGCATCTAGAGCATAAAAAGGAAAAAAATACTCTTTTTTTCCTTTGGTTTATCAACAAATCAATGCTGTAACTTCTGGTGTTTTTTTTTTCACGCTTATAAAATGATTAAAACAAAACCCGTCGCCATTGTGTTGATTCCGACTCATAGCGACCCTATAGTGACGGTGTAGGACAGAGTAGAACTGCCCCATAGAATTTCCAAGGAGTGCCTGGTGGATTCGAACTGCCAACCTTTTTGTTAGGAGCCATATCTCTTAACCACTATGCCACCAGTTAATAAACTTCAAATACTTTAAGTAGTGAAAATTTAATGTCACAAAGTATTTTGGGCAAAAGTGTGACCTGTTTTCTGGGAGGAAAGCATTTAAGGAAATTATTTGCTGGCTTGAAATACTGTCTTCCTTTATATTTATCTTAATTATAGTTTTTTTTTTCTTTCAGAGAAAGCCCGGGAAGAAGCTGGGTCAGCAAGAACGTCACTCCTTATATTGGTGTCCATTTTCTTATCAGCAGCTTTTGTTATGTTTTTGGTATATAAAAATTTTCCCCAGCTTAGTGAGTAAGTATATTGAAAGGGAAACTGAAAATTTCTAGATATTTATAGAGATAAAAGTGGATTAAAACTTAAAACTTAAACTTAGTAACAACTGTCATGGTGATTGTGCATCAGCTCTCATGGCTTGTAGCAACTCCACGTCAACACTGTTATTTAAATACTTCTTTTTAAATATGCCTCTTGGTTTTCTCTGCAAGGTTTTTCTAGCATTCCTCTTATTAAAATTTCATCTTTCTGGTGGCTTTAAAAAAATTTTTTTTAATATAACCATGTTGTAACCCTACACGCGTTCCTTTCTTCTCGCTTTGTTTTTCTCTCTCTTTTGCATTGCATATATATGTACAAAACTAAGGTAGCATTAAATGAAGCATTCCTTACCCTTATTTTAGGTGATATGCTCTGATATTTTCTAAATTTATTTCATTTTTTAATGCTAGTAGTGACCAGGTAAATTTATTTTACACTTCTGTAATAGTTACTGACCTGTAGTCTAAAAAACGCTGTTTACTACTTTCCCTCCTTTTCTCTCTGTTTTCCCCTTTTCTTTCTAGTCAGTTTTTGCCCGCTTCTATTCATCAGTTTCCCTCCTCACCACATTCCTATCTCCTAGCTCTTTTTCCCTTCCATTTTTCCAAGTGAAATGGTCTGAATAGGTACTTTCACATTCAAATTGACCCTAGATTGTATATCTAATACAGGTCCACAATTCCATAGCCAAAACCTTGGAGTGAAATGTGTTTCAGAATTTAGAATTTTCCAACATGGAATATATTTTATAAATTATGTGATACTTAACGGCAGGGTCTGGGGCAGCATCCTGTTATCAAGTATATTAATATTTTTGCAGCAAACCTGCATAGTAACACTAAGCATAATTAAAGAAAGACTATGAATGACTTTACATGAGTTTGATTCAATTTTGCTGACAAATAAATTATAAAAATATTTTGGTTTGCGGAATTTTTTAAGTTTTAGGAAAGAGATTGTGGGCCTAAAACGTGGTAAGAAGCAAAATAACCACGACTGTTTAACCGACAGTAATACCACCACTGTGTAATCTCAGATTGCATGAGGAACTACTAAGATATAGTTAGACTTTCTCCCAGGACCAGCCTGATATGAAAACCAAATGAATAGATGTGAAATGTGATTTCAAGGTATCAGGAAATTCCTGTTGCCTCCAAATTCTTTTCTTTCACAATTTGTTATGCTTAAAATGTTATGGTTACAATTTAATTATTTTAATTTTAAAGGGTTGATTTCTTACATAGATTTAAATACTCCTTGTGAGGGTAACATGTTATATTGTTATGTTATTGTTGTGTGCCATCAGTCAATTCCAACTCATAGTGACTCTATAAGACAGAATAGAACTGCCCCATAGGGTCTCCTAGGCTGTAATCTTTTTGGAAGCAGATCGTTAGGTCTTTTCTCCCTCAGAGCCGCTGGTAGCTTCAAATCATTGACTTTGTGGTTAGCAGCTGAGTGCTTAACCATTGCTCCAGCAAGGCTCCTTTATTAGGTTTTATTATTAGTGGGATTGATTTCAGGAGGTTGCATATGATCAAGAACCAGTGGCATTGAAGGAGGAAGTCCAAGCTGCACTGAAGGCATTGGCAAAAAACAAGACTCCAGGAATTGACTGAATACCAGTTGAGATATTTCAACAAGCAGATGCGGTGCTGGAGGTGTGCACTTGTCTATGCCAAGATGTTTAGAAGACAGCTCCCTGGCCAGTCAACTGGAAGGGATTCATATTTGTGCCCATTGCAAAGAAAAGTGATCCAGCAGAATGCAGAAATTATTGAACAATATCATTAATATCACATGCAAGTAAAATTATGCTGAAGATAATTAAAAAATGGTTGCAGCAGTACATCGACAGGGAACTACTAGAATGTCAAGCCAGATTCAGAAGAGGACATGGGACAAGGGGTATCACTGCTGATGAGAGATGAATCTTGGCTGAAAGCAGAGAATACTGGAAAGATGTTTGCCTTTGTTTTATTGACTATGCAGAGGCATTCAACTGTGTGGATCATAACAAATTATGGATAACGTTGAGAAGAATGGGAATTCCAGAACACTTAATTGTGCTCATGAGGAACCTGTACATAGACCCAAGAGGCAGTTGTTCGAGTAGAACAAAGGGATACTGCACGGTTTAAAATCAGGAAAGGTATGCTTCAGGGTTGTATCCTTTCACCATACTTACCCAGTCTGCATGCTGAGCAAATAATCCGAGAAGCTGGGCTATGTGAAGAATGCAGCATCAGGATTGGTGGAAGGCGCATTAACAACCTGTGATATGCAGATGACACAACTTTGCTTGCTGAAAGTGGAGAGGATTTGAAGCACTTAGTGATGAAGATCTAAGACTACAGCCTTCAGTATGGATTACACCTCAACAGAAAGAAAGCAAAAATCCTCAACTGGACCAGTAAACAACATCATGATAAGTAGAGAAAAGATTGAAGTTGTCAAGGATTTCATTTTACTTGGATCCACAATCAATGTCCATGGAAACAGCAGTCGAAAAATCAACAACATATTGCATTGGGAAAATCTGAAAAAGACCTCTTTCAAGTGTTAAAAGCAAAGATATCTCTTTGAAGATGTGCACCTGACCCAAACCCTGTTATTTTCAGTTGCCTCATATGCATGCGAAAGCTGGGCAATGAGTAAGGAAGATCAAAGTAGAAGAATTGATGCCTTTGAATTATGGTGTTGTCGAAGAATATTGAATATACCATGGACTGCTGGAATGAGAGGTCTGTCTTGGAAGAAGTATAGCCAGAGTGCCCCTTGGAACTGAGGATGGAGAGGCTTCGTCTCACATACTTTGGACAAGTTATCAGGAGGGACCAATCCCTGGAGAAGGACATCATGTTTGGCAAGGTAGAAGGTCAGCAAAAAAGAGGAAAACCCTCAAGGAGATGAATTGACACAGTGGCTGCAATAATGGGCTCAAACATAGAAGTTGTGAGGATGGCACAGGACCAGGCAGTGTTTTTTCTGTTTACATAGGGTTGGTAACGAGTTGAAACTGACTTGATGGCACCTAACAACAGTGTGATTGAATTTAGATTCTCTCTGGTTTTGATGAAGTAGTAAGGAATTGAGAGTTGATTGAAAGAGGGAAAGGATATAAACTATAGATTCAGGTTGTCTTTGCTCCCAGCCTGCTCTAAGAATGGTAACATATCAATTGTAAATAATAATGTATTATCACAAACCTTTGATATTCTGTTTATTTCTCTTTGTATACATATTTACGTGTATGTATGTGTGCATATGGATGCATGTGTACTTACGCTCCTATAGAGAGTCTCTTTAGTTTTTAAATTGTATAAATGAGAAGAGCCAGTTTAGTTCACCACCTGTTTTTATAGGACTTAAGAAAGTAGTGTTCTGTCATTGTTTTGCAGGGTCAGTTAAATTTTATCGTGCAAGCATATGGGCATAATATGTATAAACACGAAGATGACTGGATGTGATTATTTAAAGCTTTTGTAAGCAAGTGTTCATTTCCAAACAAGACACCAAAAATAAAGGAGAATTGATAGAGAAAAATGTTCAAGTTTTTTTGTGAACTTTGAATTGGGATATTCCAGAAAAGTTATAAACTGTGAATTCATTTAAAATATTTACTTAATTTTAGTTGAAATTGATTACTGACTTTAACTTATCATGATGATTACCCAAAATGATGTTAAATGTTTCTAATATGCTAACATCAGTGATCCATTGCTTACATTTAATTTAAAATTTACCGATATTAGAACAAATCCTTTTAACCTGTAGTTTGAATCATCCTGAACTTTTATATATGGATTAGATGTTCTGTGAAATTTTTCATAAAAAATTTTTTAAAAAATTTATAAACTTTTGAACTTAAAAATTATGAATCTAGAGTTAACATATTACTGATCAAGACATCAAATCATTTTGGATGAAACTTCATGTTTTGAAGCTTGACTTTGATATTAATTATCTTGACACAATTCTGTTTTAAAATTTTTCACTTTAATTTTATTTCTTTAGAGAAGAAAGAGTCACTATGAAGGTTCCCAGAGATATGGATGATGCCAAGGCTCTAGGAAAAGTTTTATCCAAATATAAGGACACCTTTTATGTACAAGTACTTGTAGCTTATTTTGCTACATATATTTTGTATCCTTTAACTGAAAAATGTTTTCTAGTTTGTTCAAGAAAAAGATTTCAAGACGTCTACTGTTCAGTTTTATAGAGCGTAACTATTTTTCTTTTTAAAAATTATTAACGTACTATGTATAGCGACATTAAATAAAACATCGAAAAACTAAATTGGAAAAAATTCTGCCTATAATCCTGTCTCCTCAGCTCAATTAATTTTATATCCTTGTGTTTATTACCAGTTTTTTGTATTCTACTTATTTTTCTTATAAACATTTTCTTCCTCTGTCCCATTCAAAATAATTATTTTGAATAAATAGCCTCCATACCATAATTTTAAAATGTATTCTGTTATGTTTGGAGATATATGTTTCTAATTTTTCTGCTTTTATAGGTATGTTACAAATCTCTTGGTTCCTAGGATTTTTTTCTTCCATTTAATTATTTCCTTTGAAAAAATTCCTAAGGATTAATGGTTCAAAGAACGTGAATGTTTTTGATACTTCTTAGTATGCATTTCTTTGCTTTACAGTAAATGTAAATTGTCCTTTACTCAGGAAAATGACTTTATTCTTTCTACATATTTTCAAACTGCATATGCTGTTGGTGATTGATCTTCCAATCTGTAGGATAGCTGTAATTTCTGATTTTTGTATCTTTTATTCTAATCCTATCTTATTTTAGAAATCTTGATTAATTCGTACTCTTTAAACCAGCTTTTGTTTTAAAAAGGCAAATTGATTACTTTGTTAATTCTCTCAAAGTATTTATATTCTTGCTTCCTTTTAATTCTGGAATTTCTTTTGCTTTGTTGAGCTTTTTGACTAAAGTTTTGTCTCCTATAGAATTCAATAGCAGCATTTTCTGACATTTATGTTGGTGTATGTATATATACGGTATCCTGGTGGTGCAGTCATTAATAGCTCAGGCTGCTAACCAAAAGGTCTGCAGTTGGAATCACCCAGATTGTAAAAATTCAGGTCTGTTCCTTTTTCCCTTCATTGACCGTGACAGAACCTGTTCGAACTGGTTCAAAGACCTCATTTAACCCAACATGTCTCAATTCAGACTAACCACATTTCAGTGTCTTAAGAGCCACATGTGGCCAGTGGCCTCTGTATTGAACAATATAGTACAAACTAAAAGCCTTTTGCTGTCAAGTGGATTCCAACCCATAGCAACCCTAGAGGACAAAGTAGAACTGCCCCGCAGGGTTTCCAAGGAGCGACTGGTGGATTTGAACTGCCAACTTTTTGGTTAGTAGCCATATCACTTAACTACCGTGCCACCAGGGTTCCAGTACAGTACAGGTACCTTCATAAGTAATACCTAATTTTAAACTTTTTTATATAAATTGCTTTTTATAATTTCTTATTTTAACCCTCATATTTATTCATGTAACCAGTTGTTTTTTCTTTTTTTTTTTAAGTACCGATTATATGGTAAGTATGGTATAGTGCTTTGCACATTCAGAAGCAGAACAACTATTTCCATCTGGAATAATGAGGAAGGTTGGGTAAAGATATGGAGTGAGTCATTGTGGACTAAGTCAGTCTACAACAGCTTACAAGCTGAGTGTGGTTAGTAAGTGATCAGTAGTCCAATTTAGTTAGAGCGCAGGGTGTGAGGGATATAGACAAAACAAGATTCATCATGTATTGTTGAAGTGGTCTTTCTACTTTCATATATGTTTGAAAATTTACATAATAAGGTTTTAAAGAACCCTGAAATGTAAATCTCTCTTTTTATTTAATGGAGGCATCCAGTAGACAGATGGAATATTTGAGACTGGTATTTGATTAAAGAAATTGAGTCAGAGATAGAGAATTAGGAGTTATCAGTATATGTGGCTGATTTTTGAAGCCATAGAAATAACTGAATTTATCAAAGGAAAGGGGGAGAAACATGTAGCTGACAGAATGTTAGAGAAAGTCCAATTTTGAGGGTAAGGAGGGGGAAAAAACTAGGGAAGAAATTATTTGTAATGTAGAAGAAAAATACAGTTCACTGGAGCCTGAGTTTTGTGCAAGAGGATGTCTAATCCTATGCAGGGGTCATTAAAAAGCCATTAATTTTGGTCAGGAGGATGTTTCAGTAGAATGGTGGGGTGGGTAAGCTGGATGGATGGGGACAAGGAGAGAATCTCTTACGAAAAAGAGGAGATGCAGTAGTTGAATAGGATACCTGGTTGAGGAAAGCTTAGGTTTTAATTCTAGTTTGCAGCAATCTTGAGTGGTTTTATAGAGCAGAAAGCTGGTGAAAGAGCAAGAAGTTAAAGATGAAAGAATCCAAGAGGAAGAAGGAAGAGATTGAAATGAGAGAACATGAGTAAATTGGGAACTGGAAAAAAAAGAGACAATTAATGGGTGAAGATAGAAATTTTAAAGTAGGGAAGAGAGATGAAGAAATTCGCTGAGTTTGATTAACTTATGAGTAGATCAGCCTGTTAGAGTTGAAGAAGTCTAAGGAGTCCGGGCCAAAACTGGAAACTAGGGAAAAGTAGAAAAAGTGAAACTCTGTTTAAAAATAAGATTTGTGATTTTTCTTCTTTTTTATTGTCTATCTTTTTTTATGAGTAGTGAATTGAGGTAAATTTTCATAGTTAAATTAGAAATAAGTAATTATTATATTTTACCTGTATCTAGATTTCCATGAAATCACGTTTCTTAAAAAAAAAATGAGGGTAAATCAAAGTAGAACTCACATGCATTAGGGAAGCATGTTATTTAAAAGATTAATGAAGACCTTTATTTTTTGTCCACATTCCAAATTCCTCTCTATTGGACACATGTAGGATATTTATCTTGGTTTTTTCTTTCAGTAACACTAGCATTATATTTATGATAATGCTAGTTAATGTTCGTCTTAGAATAAGAGGCATTACAACTAAGAAATCAGTGAGTTTGTATATTTTTTAAACTTGTATATAATTTTATTTTTTAATACTGAAATGTGAATATAATCCTATTGACTTGATGCCTTCTGTAGTAATACTTTTTGTGAAATGTTGGATTTGTCTTTTAAAAATTCCATTAAATTATGTTTTAATCCTTAACTTAGAAGTTAACAGCTTGCAGACATTTGCTATTCCAGGCTCTATATTTCTCAGCATCCTCTCAGGGTTTCTTTATCCCTTTCCACTAGCCTTATTTCTTGTTTGTTTGGTAAGTATATAAAATCGGGAGATTGGAAAAAGATAACTTTAAATAGAATGATGATGATCTTAGCCCCACTAGTCTGTGTTAGTTAGCATAAACTCACTAGTTTAATAAAGTTTACTGTTAAAGTAGTATCTGTTAAGTCCTTTTGTAAGGAGCTGTTATAGTTAGTTGTTTTTTTTTTTTTTTTTTTTCTGTAGAGCCAGGGTGTTGTAGACTTATTTGCATTTATTGGCTCTGTTTTTGCCTTTTTTATTTTGTAATCCAATTAAGACTGTGGACACAATGAATTAAGTTCTAGGGTTGGGGTGGCAAGGGTGGGAGTGGTTTCATGCATATTAATTGAAAATAAATTGGCTCCTCAAATTTTATTCTTAGGCTAAAGTCAGCATTAACTATTAGCACATTAGCTATCATTCCATCACTAAGTTTAATCACAAATACCAGTTTGTTTTAGCTAACCTCTTTAGTTAGGATTTGGTCTGAGAAAGGACTAGGTTCTTGTTCTTTGCATAAGAGATGTCATGCAGAGTGTCCTCTCCACCCCTCAAAAGAAGTAACCTAGTTGAATGTTTCCTTAGGTAAATAGATCCATGTGAATAAGATGGAAAAATACAAAATGTTTGTGACTTCTTGTTGTTTTTCAGTGTTCTGGGCTGGGTGCCTCATTCTGCTATATGCTCTCCTATTTAGTTGGGAGACCAGTGGTATACAAATATCTAACAGAGAAAGCAGTGAAATGGTCACAGCAGGTAAACCTGTATCTTTTAATTATTTAATTGAACTCTTTGGCTAGCTGGATTCTCAATGTGGAGCCCCTACCTAAATTAACTCAGACTCGGGCCTTTAATAAAATTTATCTTTTAGACGAATAAGGATGTTAATTACAATTTCAGATATGATTTTTTGTACTTGTAATGGTATCAGTCCTGGTAAGTTCAATCAGAGCAGAGAAGTCAAAGTATTCATGTAAAGGAATCATATATTTGAACACCTGTTTTGTGTTAATGCAGCATGCTGTCAGTGTGTGCCAACTCCTTTAATGCATTTCATCAGTAGAAACAACTGTTAATCTTCAGCCAGGATTTCTGCTACAGATTAGCAATGATAAATATAAACACTACTACACAGCTTGGCAACTTGGTGTTGCTATGTCCCCTCCTATACTTATTTTCAAAAGCCCCAGGAGGAGCTATCTGAAAATGAACTCAGGCACACATAGATAATGGCAGTCTTTTGGATGGGATGCCCAGGGTAGGAAAAAGGCCTTCTGTAACGAATTGCTACAAACTAAGTGGCTTAACACAACAGAGATTTATTCTCTTCTCACAGTTTTGGAGGTTAGAAGTCTGAAATCAAAGAGTCATCAGGGCCATGCTCCCTCTGAAAGCTCTAGGGAAGAATTCTTCCCTGCCTTTTCCTAGTTTCTGGTGGCTCCCTGCAGTCCTTGGTGTTCCTTCGCTTGTGGCTGCATCACTCCAATCTTCTGTCACTGTCTTCACATGACCTTCACTTCTCTATGTGTGTATGTGTGTGTGTCATCTTCTTAATAGGACATTAAGGGCCCACCCTAAATCTGGGATGATTTGGTCTCCTTAACTAATTTCTAATTACACCTGTAAAAACAGTATTTCTAAATAAAGTCACATTCTGAGGTTCCTGGTGTACATGGATTTTTGGAGGACATGATTAAACCCACTGTAAAGCATATGGTGTTCCCTAGTCAGGCTATTAATTTGTTCTTCACAGTTCCTTTATTTGATGTGCTAAGTGGAGATAGTATTTTACTCAGGGCCTTTTTCTTCCATGACTTAACTCATTGTCTTGATGACAAAAATTACATAGATCAAGAGAAATGCTCTTTATGAGAACTTTGATAGATCTTAATTCAGTATATCTGTGTTTTCTAGAATATTAACATTTAAAAAAAATTGAACTAATCCCCCTGAGCAAATTTGCCAAGAATGAATATGGTTATATATACATTTTACAGTATGCAGGAATATATTACTTTCTCATTATTGGAAAAAATAAAGTATCTCTTTTCAAAGTACACATACTTTTGTTTTTGTGATAAGGCATGGCCCAAACTTAACTGTTGCTGTTGTTGTGTGCCGTCAAGTCGATTCTGACACATAGCAACCCTATAGTCAGAGTAGAACTGCCCCTTAGCGTATCCTAGGCTACAGTCTTTACAGGAGCAGATTGTCAGGTCTTTTCTCCCGAGGAGTGGCTGGTGGGTTGGACCCGCTGACCTTTTGGTTAGCAGTCAATCACTTAACCATTGCGCCACCAAGGTGCTCCTTTGGGAAAACAATAGATAAGTACAAAAGGTAGCATGTACCGTCATTTTGGAATAATAAATTAAAAAGGTTATATGGCTAAATTTTATAGTAATAAATATCTAATGTTATAAAATTACATATTCTAAAATGCTAAGAGAATCCTATTTTTGAAATTAATTATTTTGCCCAGAATCACACTCATTTGCTTATATGGCAACATCTAGAATCTCATATGTCTACACTTTTAATCCAGTTCTCTTTTCACTATACCACATATGCACTGAATATTAAAATAATTTTATATGTATGTTTTTCTTTGGAATGAATGTTTTATTTTCTGGGAGCTTGTTATTCAAAGAAAATATGAACTGTAATCAGTGCTTATATTTAATCAGCTGTTTGCATGAATACCTGTTTAATTTCATTTATCAATAATGAATGAATTTACTCGTGATATATATTGTAATAACATAAAATAAAGATTACTATTATTTTTTGAGCTATATTTGTTGATGTGTATACTAGCCCTTTACACTGTAGGAAACTGAAGGCATTAAAAAGTCGGCCACCTGATGTGTATCTTATATCTAGTTATCATATAAGTTTAATTTGGCATTTCAGTTTTAAAATGTTACCATTGAGCTATCATTATTTAATCTGTTGTAGAAACATCTTTAGTAACATTAAAATATAAGCACAATTTTTAAAAAGTCTCATCACATGTTGTTTAGCTCTGATAATAGTGAACATTTAATCAATGTCATTTTCAAACTCCTTTTTCGATCATTTCTGTTGGATAAATTTGATCAGTTCCATTGGATGGATTATCAGGAATAAGAATTTGAAATAAGGTATTTTATATTAACTAATTTTCATGCCTTATTTCAGATTCTAATAAGATATTTTCTATTAAGTAACTCATTTTCACCACCACTCATCTGTCAGTTTGTCCTACTGTGGTGCCTTATGTGTTGCTGTGATGCTAGAAGCTGTGCCATCAGTATATTTCACATACCAGCAGGGTCACCCATGGTCACAGGTTTCAGTGGAGCTTCTAGGCTAAGACAGACTATGAAGAAGGACCTGGTGATCTTATGAAAAAATTGGGCAGTGAAAACCTTATGGATAGCAACAGAACATTGTCTGATATAGTGCCAGAAGATGAGCCCCTCAAGGTTGGAAGGCACTGAAAATACGACTGAGGAAGAGCTGCCTTCTCAGAGGAGAGTTGATTTTAATGACGTGGATGGAGTAAAGCTTTTGGGCTCTTCATTTGCTGATGTGGCATGACTCAGAATGAGAAGAAACAGCTGCATACTTCCATTAATAATTGGAAGGTGGAATATATAAAGTATGAATCAAAGAAAATTGGAAGTTGTCAGAAATGAGATGGAATGCTTGAAGATCAATATCCTAGGCATTTAGTAAGCTGAAATGGACTGGTATTGGCCATTTGGAATCAGTCATATGGTCTTCTACATTGGGAATGACAAATTGAAGAGGAATGGCATCACATTCATTGTCAAAAAGAACATTTCAAGATCTATCCTGAAGTACAGTGCTGTAAGTGACAGGATAGTGTCCATACACCTACCAGTTAATAAGACTATTATTCAAATTTACTCACCAACGAACATCGTGATATATGGAGAAAATGTTGATGTTGTCAAGGATTTCATTTTACTTGGATCCATGATCAACGCCCATGGAAGCAGCAGTCAGGAAATCAAACGATGTATTGCATTGGGAAAATCTGCAAAAGACCTCTTTAAGTGTTAAAAAGCAAAGATGTCACCTTGAGGACTAAGGTGCGCCTGACCCAAGCCGTAGTGTTTTCAGTCACCTCATATGCATGCAAAAGCTGCACAGTGAATAAGGAAGATCGAAGGAAGAATTGATGCATTTGAATTATGGTGTTGGTGAAGAATATTAAATATACCATGGACTGCTGGAATGAGAAGTCTGTCTTGGAAGAAGTATAGCCAGAAAGCTCCTTAGAAGCGAGGATAGTGAGACTTCCATTTCACATAGTTTGGATATGTTATCAGGAGGGACCAGTCCCTGGAGAAGGACATCATGCTTGGTAAAGTAGAGGGTCAGTGAAAAAGAAGACCCTCAAGGAGATGAATTGATACAGTGGCTGCAACAAGGGGTTCAAACATAGCGACGATTATAAGGATTGGTGCAGGACCAGGTAGTGTTTTGTTCTGTGTAGGTAGGATCGTTGTCTTAGTTATTATTTAGTGCTGCTGTAGCAGAATACCACAAGTGGATGCCTTTAACAAAGAGAAATTTATTCTCTCACAGTTAGGGAGGCTAGAAGTCTAAATTTAGATTGGCAGCTCCATGGGAAGACACTGTCAGTTCTAGGGGAAGGTCCTTGTCATCAATATTTCCCTGGTCTAGGAGCTTCTCGGCACAGGGACCCCGGGTCAAAAGGACATGCTCCACTCCTGGTGCTTCTTTCATGGTGGTATGAGGTCCCCCTCCTCTCTGCTCTCTTCTCTTTTATATCTCAAAATAGATTGACTCAAGATACAATTTAATCCTGTAGATTGTGTCCTGCCTCATTAACAGAACTGCTTATAATCCTGCCTCATTTACATCACAGAGGTTAGTATTCACAACGTATTGGGAATTACATCAGATTACAAATGGAAAACAACCACAGGATACTGGGAATCATGGCCTAGCCAAGTTGACACACATTTTGGGGGGACACAGTTCAACCCATGATAGTCACTGAGTTGGAACCGACTCGACAGCACCTAACAACAACAATGAATTTTCAAGATTGGCCTTACCTTGATGCTAATTCTTTTCCTTTTTTTTTTTATGACAGGTTGAACGTCACAGAGATCATCTCATTAACTACATTATATTTTTGAGAATAACACCATTTCTGCCTAATTGGTTTATTAATATTACTTCTCCTGTGATAAATGTGCCACTGAAAGTTTTTTTTATTGGCACTTTTCTAGGTAAGGCCTCCCATCCACACTGTGTTAGAGCTCATTGTGTACTTATCTAACAGTGTCAGCCAGGTTAAATTGTATGCTCCTTGCAGACATGCGAGTACCATAGTAACTAACTTGGGCACAGTGCCTGGCTGGTATAAATAGGTGCTCAGAAAAGTTGTTGGATTACGTTGATTTAGGGCACATTCTATTGGATATTATTTTAATCATATAGAATTAAGTAGAACTTTTTAACTCCTTTTTCTCCCTCAGTAGGGAGAAAATCCAAGAAGCCTTTTTTGAGTAATTTTTTCTTTTCTTTTTTTTTCTATTCAGGTACTGAAATACTGAACTTTAATTTTCAATAGAGAATTTATCTTTTTTGTTTCATTGTAGTCAACATTTATTGTGGGCGTTACCAAAAGTATGGGGGAAACTAGGGTCAACAAAGGCTCTTACTTTCAAGGAGCTTACACTTAATTTTGAAATTAAATTATTTTGTGAATTCTGGTGGTTCTTAGTAAGAGTGTTCCATTTTTCTTTCCAGTTTGAGTTGAATTTGTTTAGATACCAACAAAATGAGCAGATTTATCATGTATTGAGTGTCTAATAAAGTTTAATGCTTGGAAAAATAATCTTTTTGAAACAATCAAAATAATTAATTGCTGCTTTTAAAATGATTCATTGACAAACTTAAAAATTATATGAGCATGGGCAATTTTGTATTTTTATAATGATGTTATATTTGTGGAATCAGAAGATAATTTTTGTCCCTATCTCATTTTTCAGATGAAGTAGCTAGAGATTCAGTTAACTTGAGCCTTGGCAAAAGTAATTTTTTCAGTTTGTTTAGATTTTTAATGAAATATGATTGTTCCGTGTGCACTCTTGTATAACGTGTTCTTTTTTGGGTATCATTCCATGTCAGTATATCTCATACCACTTCATTTTTATTTTAAACATACCCTGTCAGGGTAAACAACAATTTAGTCAACCTTACTTTTGAGCATTTCCATTGTTTCCAGAGTTTTTATGTAATGCTTTCATGAGCATCCTTCAAATTTGTGCATATATAGCACTGTTTTCTAAAGTTGAAATTGCTGAATCAGAGCATGTTCCCTTTTTTTAAAGACTTTTGATAATATTGTAAGATTATTCTCTAGACACTTTTCTTGAGTTTTTAAGTTCATTATCCTTAAGAGTTCTTTCATGGAAATTAACTTGTGGGGCTTTAATTTTTTTAATGATTTTTTTCCAAAATAGAAATATCTGTATTCATCTAAGAAGTTTTATGCACACAAAAATTTTTAATTTTTACAAATAAATGTTTTTTACTATGTTTTCTCTTTTTATTTCAGGTGTCGCACCTCCCTCTTTTATAGCTATCAATGCAGGAACAACACTATACCAGCTTACAACAGCAGGAGAAGCTGTTTCCTGGTACTCAGTATTTTTTCTGATGATTTTGGCTGTTCTTTCCATCCTGCCAGCCATTTTCCACAAAAAACTAAAGCAGAAGTATGAGTAAACAACCATCTGAGTTTTAGTTTTCCCACCACCGTCATCATTCTCTTCTTCATCATCTCAGGATTAGCAGGAGTATCTATTTATGTTTCAAAATCACTTCTTCAGCAATTGAAACAAGGAATTTGTAAAATCAGATTTTCTACTGAACAGTTAAAATGATACATTTAAGTGGCAAGGGGGAGAAAAAAGTAAAAATGGAAATTGATATACTATGAAGAGTGCTGTCAGTGGTGATGGTAAGCATCTAAATTACTATATACAAGGGGGAGCTACAGGTAACTACCAGCAGTGTGGTAGGAAATTATTGATCCAGCTGGTTCATTTAATTTAACATATTTCATGAACTAGCCATACATACTTACTCATGACTTGATAATTTAATAATATTTTTCTCTCTCACCCTTAATGATAACTAAAATTAATATACAAAAACAAAGATTCTGGATTCTTACAGTGTTGCATTTCTGGCTAAGATCAACTTTCTTTCAGAACATACTAAAACTAAAGCTTAAAACTTAAAAGAGATTTACATTTTTCTTTTTACCTTTGAGGTAATTTGTTTAGAGCTTATATCTTGGTAAACCACTGAATATGAAAAGGATATCAAGTTATAGCTATTTTGTGAGGTTTTTTTTTCTGTTTCAGATTTTTATCATGGATTAGTTTGAGATTTATAATTCTGACTAGTCTATTTTCATCCTTTTATCTAGCTTTCACAGTATTTCCACTGTGCATATACAAAATGGAGATTATATAATAACTAGTATATTTGGTGTTGATAATTTATATTCAGATAATATTTTGTTACACGGTTCCCCTTTAATATCTCAGAAGGGGATCTAAGAAACAGCAGTCTTATGGGTTAGGTTAATTGTACTACTTTATATTTTGAAACAGAAACTTAGTGGTAATGCAGTTCTTAAGTGGTTAAATATAGTAAATTGGTCCAATGACTATAAACTTTACCTCATTTATTAGTCTGGTTATTAAGTTATGTATTATGCATGATATACCTAAAAGAATGCATTGTTTCATTTCTTTTGATGACTTTTTATGTGTTGGGCTGCTTTTGATTAATGCAGCTTCCCAATTTAATGTTTTTACTTTTTATAATTCACAAGGTAACATTAACTTCTGACATGGTAACTAATATATTTAAATAGTCCTAGAAAAAACAAAACAGCTTTTTGCTGCTTAATGGTCATGCCCTTGATTCCTTAATTCTAGGGCATCACCAATCTAAATTCTGTCAGTTTTACCTTCACTGAAGCTTGTTATTATGTTGAAAGTACTTTAGCTGTGGGAGAAATCCTTGTATGTTTTTATTGTGAGAAATATGATCATCCTCAAAGCCTGTGTCTACAACATAATGTGGATTGATTCATTATTTTTTCTATCACAGTATTAACAAACGGATTTATTGTAAATACAAAGAAAATATATTGATTAATATACTATTCTTATGTCACTTGGCCTTTTGTGTGAGATTATTTATTATTTCTAGCAAGGTTTTCTTGCTTTCTGATGGACCAGAGACTGAGTGATACAGCTTTTGTTATTTTTACAAATGAACCTAAAACACACCTTTTTTGGACAAAATTCACTAAGTATTACTGTGTAAAGTGTAATTAAGTCAATTTTTATCAGACTTTCAAAAATAAAAGTAAGAGTTTGTACTCAGGAGAAACCTCACTGTTTGCTCTGGTGTATGTATATTGTGCCTACTGTCTTCACAGAATATTTTCCCTGTCCTTACCATTGATTGTTTCCCTTTGCTGCTACCTGCCTCCAATATTAGAAAACTGTACCTGCCACTAAGGTGGGTTATTTCCCACAAGAGAATATCCAGTCTTTCCAGATTCATCGATGACTGTCAAGAAAAGAGTCCTTCAGCGGGCAGTACCCTAAGTGCAGCTGGTAGCCTGCATTTACAGATTCATAGACTTGGCCTGGAGCCATATGTAAATTCAAGCTTCAGTCACAGCTTAGACAATTACATAGTAATAACTTCAAGAGAGCAAGTGTGTATGTATGTATGGTGGGGGCAGGGTGGTGTTGGCAGTGTGCAGGCTAGCTAGGAAGCTTGAGACATTAAGAAAGTAAGACTGTGCCCTTCTTAGTTAATAGCTTCTCTGGAGCTCCACTACTTTGAGAGTAATATCTGTAAGATACTGTTAAAAATGTAAAAAAAAATGTAATGAGAATAAATTGTACTGGAGAAAGTAAACATACCTTGGGATATACTTCGTGGAAGTACTTGTATTAAAAATCCTTTCATTGAATAAAAATATATTCTCGTGAATTTTTTTAAATTTTGTTGTTGAGAGTATACACAGCAAAATGTACACCAATTCAACAGTTTCTGCATGTGCCATTTAGTGACATTGATTACATTCTTCAAGTTGTGGAACCATTCTCACCCTCTTTTCTGAGTTATTCCTCCCCCATTAACAGAAATTCACTGCCCCTAAGGTTCCTATCTTATCTTTCAAGTTGCTGTTAACAATTTGATCCCATATAAATAGTTCTTAAAAGAGCATGATGCTCAAGGCAGACCTTTTTTACTAGTTAAGCTAAACTATTGTTTGGTTTTAAGAAGACTTCAGGGGCTATTTTTGGTTTAAGTCTTAAAAGATTTTACCTCAGGGCAATAGTTACAGGGGTTCATCCAACCTTCATGGCTCCGGGAAATCCGGAGTCCATGAAAATTTGAAATTCTGTGTATTCCCCCTTTTGATCAGGATTCTTCTATAGAATCTTTGATCAAAATGTTCAGTAATGGTAGCTGGGCACCATCCAATTCTTCTGGTCTCATGACAAAGGAGGCAGATGTTCATAGAGGCAATGAGCCACGCATTCCATATCCCTCTATTCCTGACCCTCCTTCCTCTTTTGCTGATCAAATAGAGACCATTTGTTGTGCCCTGGATGGCTGCTTGCAAGCTTTTCAGACCCCAGGCACTACGCAACGAACTAGGAGGTAGGACAGAAGCACTCAACATGTTACTAGGTCAGTTAGCTGGGATGTCCCATGAAACCATGACCCTAAACCTGCAAACCAAGGAACCAAATTCCATGTGGTTTTTGGTTATACATTGTTTTTTTAAATTCTGATGCACGTTTTCACCTCTAAGAACAAAAATATTTTTAAAACTTTAATTTGAATGGTTGGCTTTTGAGGATTTTAAAGCAAAATTTGGAATTGTAGAGGTAAATACAGGTAAATTCTAGAAGATACTGGTTTCTATATGGAGGAATCACTTATTAGGGAATTTTTTAAAAGTTCTACTTGGCTCTTTGAAAAAAGATAGAATAACTAAAAAGAGCCAACCTTCCATGTTGTGTAAAAAATTGCCTTTCAATATTTGTAGTTTAGCTATTTAGAAGGCCATATAGAATCCCTCCTTGCAGGTAGCCCCTGGCGTTCCTTGATATCCTTGGCTCTTCACATGGCATGTGTCTTCCCTGGTGTGTGCTTTGTCTAACCTGCTTTTAAACAGTTTATAAGTTTTTAGGGTTAGGGCATAAACCCTACATTGGTATGGCCTCATTTACATGACATTAGATTCCATTATGGAAGGTCATTAAGTTACACCCACAGATATAGGAGTTAGGATTCTAATACATAATTTGGGGGGACACAATTCAATCCTTAACAGAATATTAATAAGGTTTGAAGAAAAGGAGGGTTAAAGGAACTGAAAGTCTCCAGGAGGTGAGAGCAAGTAGCGGGAATGTGGGTGAGATAAAGCCAGAGGGACAGAAGGAGTGGTCAGATAGGTGCACAGCAATTTCAGAACGAAGTTGGGCCTGGAGCTTTTTTGTTTGGTGGTGAAAGCCTGATTCTGAAGCTTATTAAGGTTCTGAGCAGAATAAGGCTCAAGATTTTCAGCTTCCTAGTTTGAAAAAAGAAGTGCTGATGAAAAAGCTTTGAACACGAAGTCTGGAGATCTAAATTGGGACAGACATGATAGGGTACATATAAGTCAGGGATCAGTGTAGTCAAACTACTCCAGGTTTTGCTTATTTGAAGTAAAGAAAGGTTTAATGAATAAGTGCATACTTACAAGTTGTGTATTTTGTTTTTTAAATTGACCAGATGTTTTAGGTTAGTTTCATCATTATTAATGGTGGTATGGTAGGAACATTCCATTATAATGTATGATATTTTGGAGTTGGTTTGGAGCAATCCTAGGTATTTTAAGCAGAAAAGGACTTAATACAGGGAATTTTAGGTGTTTACAAAAATCATTGGAAAGTTTGGAGGAGCAGGCTTTAGACTGGACCTCCAGTAGTAACTCCTATAAAACTCCAGAACTGTCACTATTGTGTTCAATAGCTCACCACTACAGCTGTGACCCAGGGCTCAGGAGGATAGAATCTAAGCTACCACAGCAGCCACTGCTGCTTACTGGGCACTGGAAGAAAGAGTCTGCTCTCTTTGCCACTTCAGCTCCGTCACATCGTCCACAGAGCTGGAGATAGACACTGGCATATCTACAGCCCTATCTGCCTGCAGAAAATAGACAAAAGTAGCAGGAAAACGGCCCTGTGTCTCTTTTATATTCAAACCTCTTGCAAGTGCATCTGATTTGTGGAACCTAATTTATGCCCAGAACTCTAGTTTTTAGAGTCGTTAGCTTTCCACTCTTCAGTACGGAAAGGAATAATTGGGGCCAGCTGTATTTGCAGGGCCCAGTGCAAAATGAAAATGGAGATCCCTTGTTCAAGGAGCAGTAAAGTGATGTTAAAGGCACTAAAATATAAAGATTTTTCCTTTCTTCCAAGGTCTCCCTCTTTTCATGGTGTTTTTAATTTTCTATTTAATGTTTTAAGTAAAGAAAAAATTTTAAATTATTAGCATGAATTTTGCCATTTGCCTTTTTATTGTGCAATGCCTGTTTTAAACACAAATATAGAGCTTTTAACTCATAGGTTAAATCACGGAAATTACACAATTCTCTTTGTAACTCTCACTTGCATATGTATTTCATTCTTACAAGAATAGTGGAAATGCTGCAAAAAGTAACTCAACTGTTTTTTTCTTTTTGATTGTAATATATACACAACAATACGTACAACGTTTCATCAATATCTATATGTTCACCAACTGTTTTTAATTTCACTTCTTGACGTGCACATTCTACAACACTCACCCTCTGCTTATAAAGAAGGAAGGAATGACTGAAAGGAAAAGGAGCTATGGGTTGCCCTCTTTCCTTTTATGTCATTTTCAGTAAGTGATAGGCTAATGCAGGGAATTAACACAAATAAGAATGTGATAGAATTCCTTGGTTGTTTGTGTTCCTTGAAATGCCATTATCTTCCTGCGTTAGAAGCCAGTTCTCCTTTGAGCAGAAAGCACAGCCTTTTGGGATGATCAGTGCTCCCGATCATACAGTTGTAGACATACAATGCTTACCTTCTGCTGGCTTTGAGTCTCACTGAACTCCCACATATCATGGGTCCACCAAAATTCTCTGCTCATGTATTATCACGAATGCTGTATGGGAATGGGGCAGCGAGGAACTGTGGGCATGGATATCGGCCGTATCTCTTCTGCTCACACGCGTGTTCCTTTGTCTTGCCGGACTCCACTTACAAAACACAAGTTCAAAGATAAAATTGTTAAGAATTTTAAGACTGTGACAGTAGAGCATTACACCAAATACTGGGCCCTTCTAAGTATAAGGCCCTGTGTCCAGATGGGATGCCCATGAAGTTGGCTCTGGAAATAATAGGAAGTAGAAATGGATGTTGAGTGCCAACCAGTATGGAGCACGTACAAACAAATGAGTAGGAATGGAAGGTTGTCTACTGAGGGAGAAGAGTGCAGCAGAGGCACAGAAAGAAGCCATGTGATGAGACAGAGAGCACCCCTAATGCTGACTTTCAGTTCTGTGAGGCCCAGTTATACTTCCTGTGTCCTGCTGTTTACCAGGACCAAGTTGGGCAATATAGAGAAAGTGCCAGCCCCACAGTTAGCTTATATGGTGACTTTGGGTGAACTAGACAAAGATCTCCCTTTCCTGAGATACTTTACTGCCATCTGTTGGAAAACTGTCATGATAACTACTATATAAATTAATAACTACAGTGAATGGGGGGAGCCCTGGTGGTGCAGTGGTTAAGAGCTTTGCTGCTAACCAAAAGTTCAGCAATTTGAATCCACCAGCTGCTTCTTGGAGACTCTATGGAGCAGTTCTACTCTGCTGTATAGGGTCGCCATGAGTCAGAAAAGACTACGGCAACTGGTTTGGTTTGGTTTTTTGGTACAGTGAATGGTGTCTCATGGATAATGCTCTATCCGTGCAAATGTGAGTGCAGCCCTGCCTGTCATCTCAGGGTCCCCAAGAGGCAGAGGCACAAATGCTGATAACTCACAACCTGAGCTTAGCAAACTTAGTGGACAACAGACAGGAGTTGAGGTGGCAGAACATGGGATAGCCCAGCCACATCCCTGAATTTCAGTCTCAGAGGCAAGAGGTTGGAATCAGAACAAGTAGTTCCCCTCTTTACATTGCCTCATCCCTGGCAGCCTATGAAAATTGTAGTGGTGGGGGCTTTGGGCCAGTTCCAGTATTTCACAAAGCCCAGTGGGTGGGAATCATTTTTATCTAGGAGAAGCTGGGACAGGCCAACAAAAAATCCATTTTTTTTTGCTTCTGGCTGGAATTATATTAACTCTTTTG